AAATGTTTAAAGGTAATTATTAAAATTTTGTGGGTCCATAAAAAGAGGATTTTGGACACTGAGGAAATCCTGAATCTCTATTGGCTCTTATACTGAAGGACTCTTGGCTGAGATAACCAAATCCTCCCGACTTTTTCCTAAACCTCCAGCCATTTGCTCTTCAAACAATTCTCTTTCCTCTTCTAGACATTCTTGAACTGGACATGACTGCTTACATGCTCAGATTCTTTCATTTTCTTTGCTGAGTTTTAAAGCCACCAGAGATCTCACTGCCAGTGTCGCTGCTTTTCTCACCACTCTACCAGAATTCAGAGTGGGGTGTTTGTTTTGGGGTGTGGTGGGTGAGGCTCTCCCTCTCACCTTGGATGCATTCTCCCAGAAAAGGGGGCCCTGCTTAGCCATGTGACAGGAGCCCATCTGCCTCTGAAGCCCCGCGAGAAATCTCGGATCACCACCACGGGACCTTGTCTGCTGCTTGAGGTTGACCGTTGCCATGTCGCGCCTACCATTTGCAAGAGGGTGCTGAATTCTCCCTTTGAACTGGTCATTTTTTCCTTCCATGAGAAGACCCCAAAAGCATTATTAGCTCCAGTTTCTGAGGCTGAGTTCTTTCTTGACTCTTCTAGATCTTCTATGCAACAGCCTTTTGAGATTGGATTTATTATCTGTTCTCATTCTTAACAAAAGCTATCTTCTGTTTTCCTCCATGAATGCTATTCTACTGTGTCTGGAAGCACTTCTCCCTTTTAATCAATTGGGGCACAGAGAACAATCCCCCATGGTCTGTCACCTGTCACTTTAAAGACACTAACTGGCATGTCCCACGTGGACAATCCTCTGACTCTGGGGAGAAGGTAAATGACTCACTGTATTACCACCTGTGCAGTGAAAGGAGCCCCTTGCTGTCCAGACTCAGATGGTGCTTTACTGATCTGGAGTCTTTATCAGGGCACCTAATTCCTATGGGAGCCCTGATGTGCAGACTCCCTCTCTGCCGTGGCTGCTTAATGGTTTCGTTTTTACCCTTCCTTTATCACAGTCTGGTAGTAGGCAGTTTCATGATGCCTTTTTTTTTAAAGATAGATTTATTTATTTATGTAAGTATTTATCTATTTACTTACTTATTTATATGAGAGAGAGAGAGAGGGAGAAATGGGGGTAGAGGGACAGAGAGGGGTGGGGGAGAGAGAATCTCAAGCAGACTTCCTGCTAAGCACAGAGCAGGACACGGGGCTTGATCTCAAGACCCTGAGACCATGACCTGAGCTGAAACCAAGAGGTAAGAGCTTAACCCACTGAGCCACGCCGGTGCCCCTTTGATGTCTACCTTTTCCTCTACCTTCCTCCCATTCTTTCCTGTTCTTTCTCTTCTTTGCCTTAGTCATTTACAGGTTACTCACCAGCCCTGATTTATACAAAATAATAACAGTTTTACCTTTAGAAGGACCAGACTAGCGCTGGCTCTGATCGAACCTGTCCCAGTGCATCTCACTCAATCCCTCCACCTGCTCACCTTCCCTCTCGTCTCCTTGTTATCTCTGCTCCTATCTGGGTTTCTCTCTGGGTACCCATGGTGTCCGATTATCCTGAGTGAAGATCATTCCTCCTTTCCAGAACTGGTTGTTTAGGAAATTAGTAACTTGAATGTGTTTTCAGACGAAGTGTGGACTCAGAATTGTTTCTATAATTAGTCTGCCTTTCGTGCGAAATTTGACTTCTTTAACTTCTGTATTTAACCTCTGGTTGGTGCTCTCCTGACAGCAAACTGCTGGATTCATCAAAATTCTCTCCCCCCTTAGAGGACTTAAGAATGCTCCTCTCCAAAGATCAGTCATGATCCTGAAATCAGCTTTGCCAACCTAGAGGCAAGGAGAGGGACTTATGTGAGTTGTCTAATGATAATCAACATGATATTTCAGGACTTCTTCTATCTGGGGCTGGTTGTGGGGAGGTCAGGCAAGAAAGATAAAATCATGACCTTTTTGGGTGGTGTGAAGTTTGCTTTCTATTGTTCAGATCCAGTCATTAGTCCAAATTGCCTTTGATTAATGTCAAATAATAAGTTTCACTCTTGGCTCCCACCTTGAAATGTCTTCAACCATATAAGAAGGACAAATAAATGATTTTTAATAATCTTGCTATATTTGTCCTTAATTTGGCACAAAGAGCTTAATACTGTCTCTGAAATTACATTTTCTGGATGCCAGAGTGGCTCAGTCAGTTAAGCATCAGCCTTCGGCTCAGGTCATAATCCCAGGGTCCTGGGATTGAGTCCCATGTTGGGCTCCCTACTCGGTGGGGTGCCTGCTTCTACCTGTCCCTTCGCCCTTTGTTGCTCACAGCTCATGCTCTCTCTCTCTCTCTCTCTCTCTCTCTCTTTCTGTGTGTGTGTGTGTGTCATTTGCACACATGCACTGTCTCTCTCAAATAAATAAAATCTTAAAAAAAATAAATAAAATTACATTTTCTAAGTGACGATAGAACCAAAACATATATCATATAATTAGTGACAGAATTCTAAGAAATGTAATTGTAAAAGAACTTCTGTGGGATCTCTTCCTAAAGGAGGCAGGCAGGAATCTTGCTGGTTTTCAAAAAAGTACCGTAATGGAAGTTTTTCCTTAATCATCAGAAATTGGTCCTGCTGTACTGTAGTGCTTCATCTTAGTGAATTCAATAACTTTTCTGGTTGTATTATTTAAAAAATGACTTTCACTTATAGATATTCAAATATATGCAGTTGGTTATAATCCCAGAGAAAATAAGGGAGTGAGGAGAATGGATACCTGAGTCATTAGTATGGAGAATTATCTCAAACACAACAGATTTCTTCATGACAAATCACACAAAATCTCCATAGCAACTTCACATAATTATGCATAAGATTTCAGCACAGTAAGAAAACTATACTCAGAAGAGCTTGTAAAGACTAGTGATATACAGTGACATGGATGTGTGGGTAGATGGCACACAGGAAGATTGAAGGGGGCAGTTCTAAGATGTGAAAAATGCACAAAGGACAAAAAAGATTGCCTGCTTTGTGCTTTGGAGAATACTGATTCAGTCACTGCATTGTCTGGAAATTGGAGACTGGGGGCCACAGTATCATTGATAATAGGACATCCCAGCTAGAACCACCATTGCTAAAGGAATGTTAGCATTTCTATTATATTTTTTTCTGGTTTTATCACCACTGTAAGAAAATCTGTCTAAGCAATATATTGGCATACTAAATTGACATAGAGAGATGATTTTATAATTATTTTTTGAATTTATAAAACTTGCTAGAGCTCTTAAATGAAAAAGAGCTATAGAAGCACTCCAGATATGCAAATAATATCAAGTTTAGTTACTACAAAACATAACTGAGATGCTTTCATGCAAATATTTCTTACAATCTAAATAATGATTTTTCACAAGTGTTAACTCACATTGTTAACTCACGCTTGGGTTTATTTCCCACCTGACTCCTCCTTATAACATTATTTACTAATTGTTTAGTGTCGGTAATATAGCTTTTGTTAATTTTGTTCATTTATAAAATGTTGCTGCCTTTATATATTAGTAGCTCAATTAATCAATTTCTATAAGAAAAGAGGATGGTAGTTTCTGGAAACTCCCAGGCCACAACAGAGCATTGCAAGATTAGTCAGCATTGATGGGGAAGAGCAAGATGATGTTACTCGATTTGGTGCAGTGCATATTAATTCCACTGACTCTGACTTCACAGTGGGTGCTAGAAGCCAAAAGATGACTTTGGCATAGTTTGTGTAATGGGAATATTGAGAATGTAGAGTCAGAAACAGACATGTGGTTAGTCAATTTCAATATAATGGAACAGAGGCTGACATACACTCCAGGCTTATAATGGACTATAACTGAAGGACATGTATGTAACCAAGAATCCTTTAGAGAAGATTTGATGCATCTTAAAGGGAAAAAGTGTCATCAAGGTTGAGAAAGGGAAGGACAGCATGCCACACTACAGAAATTGTATAGCAAATGTCCAGAGGTGTGAACTAATGCAAATTTTCCAGTGAGGTAACAACTACCACTTTGGTGTGATTGGAGCTTAAGTTCAGGAGTGGAGGGCTTGGATCTGGAGGAGGGATACTATTCAAGTCAGGCCTTTTATGACAAGCAGATGACCAAAAACAGTTGCTCTTAAAAAAGATAGGAGCTGTGGCACCTGGGTGGCTCAGTGAGCCTCTGCCTTCGGCTTAGGTCATGATCTCAGGGTCTTGGGATGGAGCCCCTCATCGGGCTTTCTGCTCGGCAGGGAGCCTGCTTCCCCTTCTCTCTTTGCCTGCCTCTCTGCCTGCTTGTGATCTCTCTCTCTGTCAAATAAATAAATAAAATCTTAAAAAAAAAAAAAAAAGGATCTTCTGCAGTGTTTTGAGCAAGCTAGTGACATAACCCAATTTTCATTTTAGACAGATGCCAACTCCATTCTGGAGAGTGGAATGAGGTTGTGAGGGGAGCAAACTAAATACAGAAAGGTTGCTCAAGAGATCATTTTTGAAGCACAGACTTTTCCAGTGATTGAACCCTTTTGTCTCAAGTATCAGGGAGCAAAGAGAAGCTGAGGCCCCATTTGTGCCCTCTCTAGCCATGAGGATCATTACTTCAATTATTTTGAGGGTGATATTAGCTATGTCCTGTTAACATTAAAATGTTAATTAAATCGGTTTAATACTATATTATAGAACTATTTTCATTTGTAGGATAAATTTAGTCCATTTCTCTGCTTTGAAGCAGAATATCTAAGTGATTACGGACACTTAAGAGTTTATTTTATTTTGAAGGCTTTAAGAAAAATGTATTTTCACTGAAGTGTGTGTGTGTGTGTGTGTGTGTGTGTGTGTGTGTGTGTGTATGGCCCAACTATTAGGAAGAAGTGTTAGGTGACCATAGTTTGGGAAAAATGGACAAGACATAGCATAATATCCAGGGGTGGAAAAGCATGTACTAATTTTTTCATCTGTCTGTCAAACTTTTCTTTTAATATGGAATGTGTCACGAATTCATGTGTCTTCCTAGTGCAGGGGCCACACGAATCTTCTCTGCGTCATTCTAATTTTAATATATGTGCTGCCGGAGCGAGCACTCTGTCAAACACTTTTAAGGGCTTACGAGGTGACAGGAACTGTTTTGAGCAAGAACAAGGCAATCATGTGCAAAGCAGCCAGGAACCTTGCCCTTATAGAAATTGCAATCTAGCAGATATGTTCCATAATGCCATTTATGCAGGCCTTGCTTTTCAAGTTCATCAGGACTCTCAGTTTCTTGGCATTTTCCAGCTGTCCACCAAGTGTCCTTGAATCGTGTGAGAAGAAATGGTGACAATGAACATAGATTTCCAGACTCCCTGGAAAATAGAGTAAAGGTCTCCCTACCTCATTCAGTTTAATGCAAATACTAACTTTATGCTATCTCCTGTTATCCCTAAGCCCTAATTAAAGAAGTATAATAGACTCTAACTTTTTTTTTAAATTTTTTATTTTTTATAAACATATAATGTATTATTAGCCCCAGGGGTACAGGTCTGTGAATCGCCGCCAGGTTTACACTCTTCACAGCACTCACCATAGCACATACCCTCCCCAATGTCCATAACCCCACCCCCCTCTCCCAACCCCCTCCCCCCAGCAACCCTCAGTTTGTTTTGTGAGATTAAGAGACGCTAACTTTAATCACAAAATTTTAGGTATTTCTCAAGAAGTATGAATATTTGGTTTTGACTCATGGACAAATGACTTTCTAATCTGTGAGAAACAGAACTTTCTCCAAATTGAAACAGAAGTAATTAAATTCCCGATTGTGAAATATTGTCTTGATCGGGTGATTCAGCCCTGAGATGCCCTCACCTATGTTCTTTCCTTTAGCTCTCGTTCAGCTATATGATCTTTTGACTCTGGGAATTCAGTGAATTGGCCAGAAAATCAGAGCTCCGTCTTCGCATTCAGGCCACTTGGCTTTCCCATATTCCTTTGACAGCTCTGGGCAAGGACAGCAGAGCTGCAGGGCAAGTGGTAAAAATGGTGATGAAATGGTCTATTTTGTTCCTTCCTTACATAGTCAGTATTCATCTTATATTGTTAACTCTGCACACGTAGGGACAAAATATGCATCATCCAGTTTTTTAAAATAGTTGTTCCCTGGGGCACCTTAGCAGCTCAGTCAGTCAAACATCTGCCTTCAGCTCAGGTCATGATCCCTGAGTCCTGGGATCGAGTCCTGCATCAGCTCCCTGCTCAGTGTGGAGTCTGCTTCTCCCTCTGCCTGCCATTCCCCCTGCTTGTGCTCTTTCTCTGTCAAATAAATAAATAAAATCTTAAAAAAAAAAAAAAGTTGTTCCCTAGCACCATGAGAGGTGATTAATAAAAATACAAGGCACCAATCCGAGATGGGATTTGAGATACAAAAATATTGCTCCTTCAAATGCGAAAACAGACTTGCAGCTTTTACCATGACATTCTTTTTTTTTAAATTTTTTATTTCTTTTCAGCGTAACAGTATTCATTGTTTTCGCACCACACCCAGTGCTCCATGCAATCCGTGCCCTCTCTAATACCCACCACCTAGTTCCCCCAACCTCCCACCCCCCGCCCCTTCAAAACCCTCAGATTGTTTTTCAGAGTCCATAGTCTCTCATGTTACCATGACATTCGTGTTCAAAGATCATATTCAAAGAATACAGATTTTTAAAAAAAGAAAATGCAAATATGTGGCCACAAAATGACTATACTTTGTGCAATGTTTGTGGAAGTTCTCTGCTTTGCTAGGTTGGATTTAAGAAACCTTCTTGGAAACTAGACTCCAAGGTATCCTGATTTGTTTTCAGATGTGTGAGTATTGTATGAAATGGATTGAAGAGAAGTCAAGGTCAGAATTAAGAAAGAAAGAAAGAAAGAAAGAAAGAAAGAAAGAAAGAAAGAGAGAGAGAGAGGGAGGGAGGGAGGGAGGGAGGGAGGGAGGAAGGAAGGAAGGAGGAAGGAAGGAAGGAAGGAAGGAAGGAAGGAAGGAAGGAAGGAAGGAAGGAAAGGGAGGGAGGGAGGGAGGAAGAAAGAGAAAGAAAGGAAGGAAGGAAGGAAGGAAGGAAGGAAGGAAGGAAGGAAGGAATAAATAAATAGAAAAAAGAAACCCTAAGTTTTGGAGTTTTGGTAATAAGTAATCTCAGGACTGTAAAGTCTTTTGACTCAAAAATACAACTCAGAATGCAAACCCCAATTTGCTGTCACTGTGAGAAAAGCAAATATTTCCAGCTGTATCTAAACTATCTTGAAAGCAAAAGTTCAAGGAAAGAATTGCCTCTTGTATGTGATATTAACATCTCCCATCTTGAGAAGTTCTATCTGTTAATATGAATCATTATAAGATGATTTGTGAGTAGATAGATGCAGAACTTTTTATTCACATCTCCATACATTTTATTTGCATATAAAGTGGCACATTTGTACTCAACAATAACTAGCCCTGGAGGAGTAATATTTAATAGGAGAATATAATTATCCCAGTCGGGCCATAAACATTTTCTTTAAGGCAATGACTACAGTTTAAGATAGCCTCATAATGACTCTTGTAAAGTACCACACTCTTACCAAATTGAGCTCGAGAAAAAAATTTAAGCTACAAAAATATTATGATTCCATTTGAATAAAATATCTGTTTTCATTTATCCACAGTTTTAGGAGTGATACGCATTAAGGTCAATGAGCTATTAAATGTTTAATTTTGATTCTGTGTGAAGACCTCAAGCCATTATTTTAAGTACAAATGTTAAGAACTGTAAATATTTTATTGTATACCATGTTAACCACCCAGAATTGTTTTATTTTTCATCTCTGATAATGACATTATTACAGACGCTAGATAGAATACTTCGGGTCATGTAAAGTGGCATATTCAGGATATCTGATCGTACGCCTTGCAGTCATTGGTTCTGTTTTGACCAAGCAGTTTTTTCTAAGATTTTAGGATGTGTTGCCTAGATAGTTATAATGTCTCAATATTTCAGAAGTTATGTATATATATATATATATATATATATATATATACACATATTTATAGTCTTATACACAAACTAGAAAAAACAAGAAGCTAACTTATTTTGTCTGCCCTTCTAATGTTGATAGAGGTTTTCTGTTAGGAATCAGAAGGCTTGCACTATCACATTGCTTTTAGCATTCATAAGCCAGGTGACGATTCAGTTATCTTCTACGAATTTCTTATCTGTTAGTTGATGTATCAGACCAACTCCTGAGAATTCCTTAGGCCAGAAATTCTGGAGATTTTGTTCCTTATCCCAATCTGATGTGTAAGGAAGACATCAAGGAGGCCCAAGTGCTTGTAGGGAAGGGAGTCAGAACAAGTAATGAAGGGAGCCTGAGGTTAAGTGTTACATACTGAGCACAAGGAAGAATTGAGAAGTTAGTAGGATGTGAGAACAGTCATAGCAAATGTCCTGATGTTACCACGACTGGCCGACTTTCAGAGCAACTGAGCTCACAAGTCCAGGGAAGGGAATGATGCGGGGTACCTGGGCTAGAGTGTCTGTAAGTTGCCTTCCAGCCTTAAAGACTGTGGGAATGTCTCCTCCTTTAGGGTATTAGGTGATATTCCAGTTTGTTCTTTCTGCAACTACTTCATACTTTTGCGGATAGAAGTACATAATTCATGCTTCATATTTGTAGGCTGATTGTACAAGGTTTCAGTACTACAACTCTTGGATATTTTTCGTATCAAAGTTCAGTTCCCTTGAGTTTGTGAATATCTGCCCTCGAATTGAGAATTCAGTGTCCTTGGCTTGCTCCAAGTTTGTTTGAACATAGCCCAAAGTTTCTTTTTAAGGCCAGTCCACCCAGAGCCTTGGCTCAGTGTTGTGCTTCCAGCAAGAGAAGCTTGTTTGTTTGGCAAAAACCTGTGGAGTCACAAGACTTTAAATATTTCTTTTTTGGCTTGTATTTTGCCAACATCTGGACAATGGATATGGAGAACATTTCTCAGCATATGTTCTTCTGGAAATCCCATACATATTGACAAAGGAAAATTAATTTGGCTACTGTAAAAATGGCCTCATTTTGGCCCCCGAGCCAGTGGGATTTCTGGCTGGAGTCTTCTGCGTCAAACATCTCCATGAGTTGGGGCAGTCTGCCAGTAAACCACTGATGCGCCTGCTAGATTAGATCGCGGTCTAAATGTGAACATTTCTTCCCTTTGTATGCGTAGAGAGCACCCACTCTCATCCTTCTACACTCAGCCACTCAGCCGCCCCAGGGTGATAGGGCAGGCACTCTCACTACCAAGCCACTATCAGAGTCCCTCCGGAGGCTGGGACGGCAACTGCAGCATGTGCTTAGGTGTGCCCTCACCATCTTCCTCTTCCTAGACCCCTGCCCAACACCGTCTTGATACAGGTTTGGTGTTTTAGTCTGTGCCTTATAACTTACACCATATTGTGTCTGGGACAGCTCTTGCCTTGGCAGCAGTGGTGCCTCATTCATTCACTGTCTCGCCCATGTATTGATTCAAGATACATTCACTGAGCACCTAATACAGGTCAGGCCCAGTGTCAGATGCTAGGGAGAGAGGAGCAAGGACAGAGCAGACAAAACTCCCTGTCATCATGGTCTTGCCACTCTCGTGGGGAAGACAGATTATAAAGAAAATGAAGAAGCAAAAAGTATAGAAAGTGATAAGTGCTGTGAGGAAATAAAACCAGGGAGCAGATAGAGTGTTGTGCTTGTGACTTTAAGTAAGGTATTGGGGAAGACTCTCCTTGGAGAACAGATCTGAAAGAGGGAGGAAGGAGCCAGAGGGAATGCAAGAGAGGACAGAGGCTTCACAGAGCATGTCATACTTTACTCCACTTTACTTCATGGGGTCCCGGGAAGCCTTGAAGTGTTTGAGCAGGAGAATGAGCTGATGTGACTTGCATATTCATGGTGTCACTCTGGCTGCTCTGTAGGGCGAGGGCAGAGACAAGGAGACCTGTTTGGAGGCCGATGCAGTCATCCAGGCAGATGGGGATGGTGGGAGGAAGCAGGTGGGGTGGGGAGCTGCAGGGTTCTGCCTATATTTCAAAGGGGATGTGACCAGCGTTCCTGATGGATTTGGTCTGTCGTGGGGAGAAGGGAAGAGTCACAGAAGATGCCAGGTTTGGCCCGGGGTTGGACAGCCAAGGATAGCCTTGCGTGTCTGAAGTGGTGGAGACCAAAGGGAAGCAGGTGATGGGGAGACAGCACCAGGTGAGGAGCTTTAAGTCCCCCCTGCATGTCTTCTGTGAAACAAGGAAATCATCTTAGACACGGGGAATGAGACACTTGAAACAACTTTATAGCAGAGTTCACATTCACTTAATAATGCCTGACTGTTAAGCAGTGTACATTGTTTTCATTCAACCTTCACAAAAGTATGATGACTCTTATTATTTATAATAATCATTATTACATACTGAGTGGTTCTAATTATATAATTGCCACATTATTATAATAATTGTAGTTGTCATTATAGAGTAGATGACTTCCGCGTCATTATTACTACTACTGCTATTTACAGACAAAAAAAAAAAAAAAAAATTGAGGTTCCAAGAAGGTAAATCACTTGCATCGAGTTCTTCAGCTTATGAACACCAAGTTTTGAACTTTGGTCTGTCTCATTTCAAAGTTGGGTTTTTTAAGTGACTAAATGAGCCACACGGGCAGCAACCTACAAAGGTGATGCAAGAGGTTTTTGCTTTTGCTTTTTCCTGAAGCCATTAACCACTTCGTTTCTGTTGCTCATGAAGCTGTGAACTGAGCTTTTATTCGTTCAGTCCCCAGCTACAAAGTAATCATCTCCCATATAGCAAGCTCCTGCCGGTTCTGTAGATATGATATTGTGCACATATGCCCCCTACCTTCTTACAGCTTACTCTATTTTTAGCAACAGATATAAAATTATCACTGTGACAAACAGCTCAAAGGAGAGTTCCAGGGCATGGTGAGGGCACTTAATAGAGAAATGTGACCTAGTCTGGGGATGGAATGATGATTTAGGTAAGCTGATACAAGTAGGAGCTATCTAGGGATAGCTAAGGTGGGGAGGGAACGTATTTCAGGCAGAAAGAACAGGTGCAAGGGCCCTGTGGCAGGAAGAAACATTGCATATCCAGCATCCTATCCTAGGAACTTCAAGAAGGTCTGTGTCACAGAGGCTTAGGAGCCAGAAGTGGAGGGGCATAAGACAAAAGCTAGAGGTCTCCACAGGCTGACCAGACACAGAACTCTGACTGGCTTGACCACATAACTTATCATCTAAACTTCCATACTTTAGAGTGCACTAAAATGCTAAATGGGATAGTTTGTTGGCACTACATGTGTGATCCAGATCTGTCCTGGCCAACCTGGAATGATAATCCCACTGTTTATGGGCCAATTTAAGAATTTTAGTCCTTATTTTAAGAGTTGATGGGAAGCCAGTAATAGGTTTAGCAAAGAGGGGAGAGTTCGCACAATCAGGTTTGCGTTTTAAAGGATCATGCTGAATTTACTGAACAGTACTGACCAACGTCCATTTTCTAGATGTTGTGTTTTGTGTGTTTTGTATGTGTTGTGTTGTGTTTATGGTTACATAAAATGTTATCATTGGGAAAGCTAAGTGAAGGGAGCAAGGAACTCTCTGTTCTAATTGTACTTCTTATGAGTTTTCATTTATTTCCAAATGAAAAAAAAAATAAGCTTACTCTGGTTGCTGAGAAGATAAGAGCCAAGCCCATTGGAAACACAGGATTCCGAGGGGAGGCTAGTTCTGGAGACCACGCAAGATCTGAGGGCAAAATGGTATGACGGCACTGGAAATAAGTGAACTGATTTGAGAGATACTTAAAATGCAAAGATAGCAGGTTACTCTGAACTTCTCATCTCTGTATGTTCACTGAGATTTCTACCAGGAGAAAGGCTTGAAGAAGGGCAGGCAGGGGACATTGGGGCTACCCTTATTATTATTATTTTTTTTACAGATTCTATATATTTTTTTATATATAAAAGAGAGAGGGAGAAAGAGAATAAGAGAGCACAAGCAAAGGGAGGGAGAAGTAGGCTCCCCTGTGAACAGGGAGCATGATGCAGGGCTCCATCCCAAGACCCTGGGATCATGACCCGAGCCAAAGGCAGCCACTTAACCGACCGAGCCACCCAGGTGCCCCCGGGCTGCCCTTCTAACAACCACCTTCCTCCTGGTCTTCTGAGGGCAGTCAGAGTAGTGCCAGGAAAAGCAAATTCATTCATCTCGCTAGATTTCTTCACGTCTTTCTAGGGAAACAAAATGACATCTCTCCAAACCAAAGGCCACAAAATGGTGATAACAGGGTTTGAACTTACCACATACAATTAAAATATATCCTTTCTCCTTTTTATGGATTGAGAGAAAGAAGTGGAAAGGAAAGGGTTGATAGGACATTTTAAATTAAAGAATGAGAGATAAGGAAATGTGCTAAAAATAAATTGCTTTTAGAAAAAAATATGCTTGAGAGTTATTTTGGGGAGAGCATATTTTATACTACTCAGAGTAAGAGAA